ACCAGAGTTGCAGAACGAATTAAGTTTGTGAACCGAGGTACCACTGTAGTTAATGAGCAGTTTCTGAAAGTGATTAGAAAGTGGTTTGTGAACTTAATGTCCTTTAAAAGTTTCTGCCGCAGTTGGTCAAAGTAGCAGAAAACCACTGTCCTATGGTCTCCTCACAAGGAGCAACTGTCCAAAGCACATGTGGACAATCTCTCGTCCTCTCCTTATCCAGAGAGGTTCCAAGGGACCGGTCTACTCACCAGTTCCTTGGTCTTTGCCACAGTCATTGGCTCTACTTTCACAGAGCTGTCTTCAGTTCGCCATACCTCCCCCAGAAGTCTGTTTTCTCATTAATGGTTTTGAAGATTTTTTTAAAAAAATAATGTATTTGTTCATTTATTATATTTTTAAAAAGATCTAGGCATCTATGTCATGCAGTGCCTGCTGCCTAAAAAGTTTTAACCTCTGCTATAGAACATATTTGGCATGGGAAGGGGCTGAAACAAGAAGGGATGATCCACTTCCTAGATCTCTTAAGGTTAATGAGTAAGAGGAATTTGAGAAATGATAGAGAGATAAATAATTGTGAAATCTTACTCTGGTGCTTTCATGTACTATAGTGCGTGTATATGTTGCATATTTTTGTCATTTTCAGAATCTTAGCATCTTTTATTATAAAAATAATTTTTTACTTCTGCTATTTTTATAATTGAATGCCTTTATAAATAAGTATTTGAGATTATTATATTAGTATAAAATTCTAATATTGAAGTCCTTTAATTTTTTTCTATTGAATCCAGGTTTCATGAATTATCTGAATCCTCCCCCATTCTTGAAGAACCTGATTCTGATGAGGTCAGTTGCCTGTTGGATTAAGCATATCACATTTTATTATTCATAAAATAGTACCACTTAGGATTCTTAGAAATATTTAAAAATGTGATATATTTTTTATAGCTCCCATCTTCTTCCAATACTTTATAGACTAGCTTGTGGTAATAGGGTGCTTTTCTTTAAACCTTAATATTTTACCAATAGAGAATTAATGTTGTAAAGAAATGTCATTGTGCAGTTACATAATACTTTTAAACTAAGTATATGCAGAACTCACTATTTTAGGAATGGAGCGTCCAGAGTGTTCTGTTTGTTCTCTGGACCACATTGAACTTCCTTTGGTGTGAGAATCACTCATTCATTCAGATTACAGACTCATCTAAGAGAGTGGAAAGCACAGAAGCACTTCTGCAATGTGGACTCTTAATGTCCAACTCCTTTTCATTTCACTATTTTTGACCATTAGGAACTAGAACTCTAATCTCTCCTTTCCATGGTCCCATAGTATTTGGGATAGATTGGCTTCATATTCACAGCATACACATTCATTGTTCCAAGAAAGATCACATTTGACTCTCAGAAATACCAATTCACTATTTGCAGGACCTAAAGCTCCCTTCCCTCTCCCCTTCAAAAGTCAGCAGAACATTGTCCCTGTTTTAGTGGCAAATTCTCTGATTATGCTGATGTTTGGGGGGAAGAGGAGGCATTCCTCTGGTAGCAGGTAGGCTTCAATTGATAAGACTCTGGCAGCTGAAAGGCATGCTCCCAACATTACTGAGCGAATTTGTACACAGAAGCCTTGTTAGGTATAGGCTCAGATGATGGATGCCCTTCAGGATAACCTCTCCTGATTCATCCTGTCCCTTTTCCTGGGAATGAGAAGTGTATTACAACATATATTTTTCCTTCCACAAAGGAAGTGATGTTGAAACTCTGCCATGACAGCAAGCTAGTTATATGCTTTGGATTACTTAAGACTACCCCACCTTCTGATCAGAAACTTTTGGTGGCTTGTGCCCAAGCAGATGTCAAAGCCTGTATGTCTTCTTGTAAACCACTGTCAAGCCTTTAACAGCCAAACTAGCCAGTTTGTTGCACTCCTGTTCCTCCCATGGGGCCATGGGACATGGTTTCATTGGATTTGATTACTGACCCACCACTTGTCAAAGGTCTGTATGTTATACTGGTTGCCATTGATCTTTTCCTGAAAGATCTTTCTGCACCAGAGGCTGCTCATTTATTGCCCATGTTTTCCAGACTTATTTCAGATAGAGGTATTCAATTCACAACCCATGCTTGAAGGGCTCTTTTTCAACTTTTTAGATGTTAAACTTTTTTTTTCAGCACATCACCCACAGTCTGATGGTGAGTCAGAGAGGACAAATGCTACCATTGGTAATATCTTTGTTGTAATGGGGCCTATCAACAAAACAATTGGCCTAACCTATGCTGGAGTTTGCATATAACAGCTCAGCTTATTCTTTCATTTGCGTTTCAAGCGTCTTATGGTTACCACCCATGTCTGTTCCCAGACTCTGCCATACTCTTCTCCATCCTTTAGGCACTTCATGCAACACATCAGCTGCTAAAGGAACAACTGGATTTTGCTTAAGTTTCCTATAGTATAGGCATACTGCTGATCATCATTGCCAGAAATGCCTTTCCGCTGTTGTTAGAGAGTGTGCATTGCTGTCTACCAGTTTTTACTACTCTCATGTCTGTCCAAGTAATTGGCACCACATTTATTGGTACTTTTCCTGTATCAATTCTGATCAACCCAGTTGCCTTTTTGCTTTCAACTTCCAGCTGTGATGAAGATGCACCTGGTTTTCTACCATTCCTTTCTGGTCCATCAATACTGTCCATGGCCCTTATATTACTCTGAGCCACCTCCCTTCCAATCCCAGTTTTTGCAGGAGAAAGAATTAGAGGTGGTACATGATAGAAATCCCCATGTCAGCAATACCCTCTCTGGACGAAATGGAGATTCCTCCCACTTCTGATTCTTTGGAACTAAGGAGCTAATGGAGATTCTTTTTCTGCTAATTTCTCCTGGATGGTGCAAGAGAAAGGAGGACAGCTCTTTAGCCTCGGTGGACTTGTGGAGAGAATCAAAGGAAGAATCACAGATCCTTCCTGGACCAGTTACCCAGGAAGGGAAGTTTTGAAGGGGCAGATTGTGCAAGAGCAAATATTTAGATGATAACAATCAGACAAACTGATATCAAACCAGTCTGTTACTAAAAAAAAAAAATAGATTGGCTTCTTCCCTATTATATTGCGCAGCTTGGAGAAAGCACAAGAATTTGAATATTGCATCTGACACAGAGCAGTCATTGGAATTCTTTCCTAATGGCTTCTTTAGCTTTCTGCAGTAAATCTATATATCAGAAGTTCTTACATCTTTGAGTGCCAGGACATCTGTATGCCCATTCCTGGAACAGGCCATTACTTTTCTGGAAGTGAATCCTCTACATTGGAAGCAATATGAAATGTTCTGCAATGGTTTGGCCACAAAAAAGGTCTGTCTTGAACTATGTCTGCAATAGCACAGATTGCTTCCAGTTTGAAGGATTCACTTCTGGAAAATTGCCAGTATTTCTCCCCCTGAAATGGTCAGATCATTGCTATCCAGAGGAAATTTAATGTGGTCCAGGAGAGGAATCACATTCTGGAAATGGAGAGGTCTGCTTATTTTAAATTATGACATGATTGAAGCATTAACTCAAATTAATATCATTTTATGATTTTCTTCTAAAATAATATAACTGATATAAGTATATAATTATTCAGTTACCTATCCAATAATGATTATGTCAGGAATCATTTTTAATGGCAGTTTCACATCACAATAGTTACACCTGCAATTGTTTTTTTCACAAGATCCAATTGACTCTGAGGAATATGCATTATTAAAATATGGAATAAAGAGTAATCTCTTTGAAGTTAGAGAAATAGGAGACACCATTGTGGACTATATTTATCCAATTATTTTAGTAAATGTAATATATGTAATTACTGGGGCAATCCTATCTCTGATGATTTCCATTTCACTGAAGATTGTAAGTTCAAGAAATGTGATGATCCATGAAGCTTCCATTTGGCAACTTCTCTTAAATATTGTGGCAGGTAAGAATGATCCAGGAACATCTCTTAGCTGTGCTCCTGAATGGTCAAGACAGAATCAAATTGCTGTTAGGGATCTTTGGTGCCACCAATTCATAAAGTTTGTTTTTTGAATTTCCTTCTACCTGTTTGGATCAATTCAGAAGTGCAGAATTTAAATTGCCTATCCTTGGCTTCTCCCTGAAAAGTATAAATGGAATTCTAGAATAATCTAATATTTATATAATTACCATGTTCCTTCAATATTTTTCTAGACATTTCAAGCCACACTAAATATCATTGTAGCAACTTGTTTGACATTATTAGGAGTTCTAGCTCTAACCCAGAATTATCTGTTCTTGAATTGTAAAATTACTAATATATATTTTCAGGAAAGGATTTCTTTTGTTAGGGAAATCACATAGAGCCAGGCCTTCTGTCTTTGGAATACATTCCCCATTGAAGCATGACTTGCCCTGATACACTGTCTTTTCAGCAGCAATTTTTCAGAGGGTGTATTGCAGTTGGAAAGAGGTAGTGAGAGCCACATTTTACAACAGGACCTCTGCTAATAATTCCATTTAAAAGACTGGTTTATTTTCAGAATAAAAGTTCCATAAATATGTTTGTTTCTAGGGGTTCTGTTCTTGGATGGTCTCTGCCTTTCGCATGCAGTGAGTATGCACTAAAGTTGTGATCTGAATGTTTTGCTTAATATTGTTAAGAAAATGAAAAATGATTTGTATTTTTCTCTATTTCGTTGTCCTGTTCACTGATTTTTTATGCATTAATGTTAAGATGAACCTTATACATTCAGTAAATAAGAACTGTAACTATTAAAAAACCGTATTGCTATTCATACTATTGTTCATACAGTTTTGGTGCTAGTTTTAAAAGTACTGTATTTTAGACTCAGTTTTTTCCCTTAAAAATATGAATCTGCTGTGATTCTCTCATGTTAGAAAATTACTTATAATAATTATTCTTTTTAATGAATCAGTAATTAATGATCTAGTAATATACATGCACTAGATTACCTGACTAGGATAAAACTTAGGTGGGGCTTTGTATTTTGTAACAAAAAGTGCTGTTTCATGGTTGAGTGCTTCGGTTAATATTCTTATACAGAAATGCAATGAATATCAAGGCCTTTTTGTATAACTCTTCTGAATCAGCTGGAAATTAAGTTGAAACTGCTCTAAAGATTTTTCTGTGATCAGTATTGCTGCATTTTGCTTTAAGGTAAAACAACTATTAAAAATGCTGTATTTTAAAATTTTGGTGACCTTTTAGTTTTTTTAGCATCCAATACAATTCTTGGAATGTACAGGATAAAGCCTAATCGTTCTATTAGCTGGTTCAGTTTTAAGTAGGAATTTTATTTTATTTCAACATGTAAGACCACTTTAACCTAGAACAGCATTTTAAGAAGACTTTCATTTACTATGGGCTAAGAGAGGACAAACAGGTATAATTTAAAAAAGCAAGAGCAGAGTAGGCTCATCTTTTTCATAACAGATGCACTTTTACTTGCAACTTTTTATTGACTTGATTATTAATTTTTATGTGATGCAGTAGCACTATTTTGAGTCTCTTAAAAGATTCATAATTAGTTTGGGGAAAACAAGGCTGCAATTTTAAACAAGAAACACTCAGAAGTAAAAACCAAAATATTTACAATTCCTGGCACATAGGAGAAAAGTTTATTGGAATAAAATGGTATTTAGAGAAAAATTGATGGAAGGGGATCTATTGCATTCATGGGACAAACCATTCCATAAAGTATATATAGCTGTTGAGAATATCTTCTGTATCAAGCATGCTTCTAACTAGCTGGGACACAGAAGGATAGTAAAGTAGAAAGCTGCTAAAATAAGGATGTAAGTCATTATAACTTCAGAGATAATAATTTTAATAGTATCTGACTGATCATTTTAATGTTTCTATTTTTATAGCACCATTTTACTAAACATCACAAGCATTTTTGATTTGTCCCTATGTAGTAATTCCCTTATTGGTTAAGCAATTTGCAAATCTTGATGACCGACTTGTCCTTTTATTTGTGGTGCAGTGATGAGGAGATTTATGAAAAATGTGGGCATGATGCCATTACTTACCTCGCCTTTCAGCGCCATCTCATCTGCCTCTTGATTGTGGTCAGCATGTTGTCTTTGTGTGTTATACTTCCTGTAAATCTATCAGGTGACTTACTTGGTAAGAAACTTTTTAATGATTTGGAACGCATATGTGCAAAACAGAGCAATCTGGCTTAGCTATAGAAGTGGTATATCTGTAACTTGAAGTGTTCTGTCACCTAGAGTGCCTTGAAGATCAAGCTCCATGATTCATGAAACTATGGAAAAATTATCTAATGAGAATTATATCTTTAATAATAAAAATGCCGTATTCTGTAATTTAATTTCGTAGATTTTGATCTCCTGAAATGACTTAGGCATCTAATAAACAGTTATTTAAGTACAAGTGAATGCTTCTGTACTAAATGGTACATCTTTCTTAGTGATGACATACTTCTTTTGTACCAAGCAGTAGAGGCAAGTGGACATGTATACTGACATTCAGTAATTGGAATGTTCTATATTTCAGAAGTTAGATTTTGATAATACACTAAGTTGTTCATTATTTGAAATGCTCAGTTCACCATCGCTCGTTTAAAAGAACGAAACCAAGGCTGTAGGCTAACTATTGATAATTGAAAATAAGTGAATTCTGTTAATTTGTTCATACCAAATATAGTAACTGTAGCAGACTTTTTATTGTAGGACAATACTAAAATGGAATAACTTTGAATTTAGAACAACCTGTATTTAATTTTTTCAGTATATAGACAGGTATGGGATTAATGGATTATATTTTCTTGGCAAAGTGATATACTTGCTATTCTTCTAGTAGTTCAGGGAAACTGAAACTGCTTAAGTTAAAATATATGCTTCTCTTTTCTTGCAATGCATAAGGATTGTGGAGTTGTAAGTAGAAATCAGTAAGTATAAGAAAAGAAAAAAACAAAGTTTTTCACTATTTCTGCTTACAGTTGCTGAGATAGCATCACAGGAATTGAGATATTTGCAGAATGTTATATTGGGATATATCTGGGTGGATGGCCATGTAAATTGTTAATGGACAGAGGAAAAAAGATTGTCTTTCTGTCTACAGTTTCTGCCTCTCAAGGAGAGCTTGTAAAACCATGGAGACCTTGTGTTCCATATATTTCTGATACTTTTGGGAACAGAGTAGCAGAGGAAAGAGGAAAAAAAAAATCTCCCTCCCCATGTTGTTTCTCAGTTTTAAAATGTGTTATATGGTTGTTGCAAAATTATTCAGTTTCAGAATTTCAGACTCTGGAATTTTGCCAAAGTAAGGAGCATAACACTGAGGAGAAGAACCATGTTTATTGCAATGATCATTGGGTGCCTGCTTTACAAAAAAGAGGGACCCTGAACAATGGAAAAGCAAAGATTTTTTAGAAGTTGAGGGCTACAAGGTGGGAAATCCTAGGGGTCTGATTGGCTGGCCATTTGGGGGAAGCTGGGCAGGTCTTTGGCCCTGTACCTGGGCAGGTCTTTGGCCCTGTACCTGGGGACAGTGTTGTTAGGCAAAGTGGGCCTTTCAGGAGGGCACCAGAGCTGAGGAAGTGGGGCAAAGTAGGCCTTTCAGGAGGGCATCAGAGCTGAGGAAGTTCATTGTCAAGGATATGGAATGTTAAGGTCATCAGCTGATTAGAAGATAGAAGGTTGGGGTTTCTCTAGGTTGCCACTTCCTTGTAAGGGTTGCCCTTGGGCCTTGTTGTAAGCTGGTGGGGAGGCTTCTATTCTTTGGCCTAGATGGGATTGCAGGGGGGCTTTGTCTGGGGGAGGGAGGGTTAATTTGGGTCTGATGGGATTAGGCAAAGAGAGGAACTGGGTTTGACCTTGGTCATATCCAAAACATTGGGGGTGGGGGGGAAGGGGTGCAGTCTCCATTTAGTGTGTTGGGTTTATTTTTTCCACTACACAGATAAGTTTCTTTTCAGCTAGAGTACCTGAAAGGAAGACCCAGCTGATATAAATTCAGTTATTTGTATACTTTCCCTTCCAAGGAAAGAACACAGAAATGGAGAGCTAATGTTGTCTGTAAATCTTAGGGGAAGAGAACAGGTAGTAGAAAACTTCCTTCTGTTTAATTCTGTGTCCTCTTCAGCATGAGCTTGTATAATGGTGTTGCCTGTTAGAAGAATCATGAAAACTTAATAAAGTGCAAATGTTAATTGCCAGAAGGACAACTTAGATGGAGATGGCACAGTGGATGTCTTCTACTTAGTTCCATTTTGTTTTCTATATATCTAGATTTTTACTAGTTGTAGAACATTAGCTTTGGTTGCTGTACTTTGCACCAGCACTTTTCTGTTGTATACATTAATACTTATAGTCATGAATTCTCTTTTCCCATTGTGAAGCACTCTTGACCCCTTCTTGAGTCTGCAAAAAAAATACCAGCATGGCATTTGCTGTCTCTGTTGTTGACCTCTGTTCTTCTTAGATTGTCTCTGTATAAAGTTACTGCATTCACCTGACTTCCCTCCAAAGTAATAGATGTCAAAGCCTAACATATTTTCAGTAACTTGTAGCTCCCTTGCACAGGATAGAAATAAGGAGAAAACACTACTTTAATGTTGATATAGTTAAGGATGACCTGACTCTGTCTTGATCATGGGTTGAAGATGAGATGAAAGTAATGTGTCATGTCAGAAAAAAGATGTTGCCATTGAATGTCTGTGTTGTGATTAGGTGCAAATGAGGACAGGCACTAAGTTTAGACTTGTTACAGTAATTATAACAATTATTAATGCAGACATATCTACTAGAAAGGGCTAATTTCCAAAAAAAATGAGTGTACTGGTTTGAAAGGAAAAGTCAAGGAACACCAGGGCTTGGCAATAAATAACAATCCAGACACTCAGCCCCTTATTCAATACTTGACTTGACTTGGCAGAAGACTCTCAGACTTGACTCAACTAGAAAATAACCTTTATTGGAGATAAGAATGAAGTCTTAGCCGCAGCAGTTGATTGACTCTTTATATACTGCAGTAGCTAGAGCCTATATATACTCTAGAATTTAAACTCAAGGTGTTTCCCTCCCATTCCTAATTAACAGATATTTGGCTGATCTTGTAATGGACTTGGGAATTAGCTGAGATATATTTACAGAATAGTTTTCTTTAGTCTAGGAACTGCTAGTTTGTGCCTTTTCATGCTTGAAGATTATTTAAAACCACAGTAAACAAGTCTCAGCTAGACTGTATTTTACAGTGTAAAAAAGATTAGTCAAGTCCAGGAAGAGGCCACTATGACTTTCTAGCTTTCAGGAGTATCCAGGAAGATGTGAAAATTAAAAAGTTCCCTCAGGAAGGAGAAAGCCTGTCCTAACAACAAGAACAAAAAGGGCATATGCTGGTAAAAAAAATTATAAGGCAAACAATAAGAACTTCTTGAAATACATTTGAAATAGAAAACCAGCCAGTGAAGCAATTTGGCCACTGGACAATAAAGAAGTGAAAGGATATGGAGTTTGCTAAAAAAAACCCAAAATTCCTTTCATCTGCATCTACTACTGAAGGCATAGGACAAATACCTGAGCCTGTATTTACTTTCTCAAGGAGAGAATTGGAACAACTAAAGCTGATTGAGATAACAAGTGTGGGTATTTTAAGACACTTGAGAGAGTACATATTAACACATAATAATTCCTTATGGCATCCACCCAAGATCTTTAAAAACTCAAATAAGAAATTGCATAATGAGAAATTCCTTATGAGAAAAGGCTAGAACATCTGGGTACACTTTGGAAAAAAAGTGACAGCTGGGCATTTTTGAGATGTATAAAATTATGGAGAAATTGAGATTTCTGTCTCTCTCTCTCTGTCAAAACACTAGGACTAGGGATCATCCGATGAAGCTGATTAGAAAGAGATTTAGAACAAACAAAATAAAGCACTTATTTATACAGAGCATAATTAACCTGTGGAATTCATTAGCACAAGACACCATTAACTAAAAAGTGATTGGATAAGTTCATGGAGGACAGATCTATCATGGGCTAATATTTTCTGTGTTGGAGGAAACATGCCTCCAAGTACCAGTTGCAAAAGAAGGGCATATCTCCATTTTCTCCATCTTAGAGGGAACTTGTTAGCCACAGTACTGGACTAAGATGGTCCTTGACTTGATTCAGCAGAGCTATTTTATGTTATGTTCTTAAACAAGCAGCAGAAATAAGATACATTCAAGCCACTCTATTTGTATAATATTTAGTTATTTGCAAATAAATAAAGGAAACATACTTAAAATATGATCTTCTGCCTCTTAGATAAAGATCCCTATAGCTTTGGAAGAACTACTATAGCAAACTTACGAACAGGGTAAGTAATCTTCAAGGGTTTGCATCCTATATACACATAATATTTTCCTTGAATATTCTTTGCTTTTCAGTTTGGACAGTATTTTTTAATCATGTAGTAGAAGAAAATAAGATGTGCTAGACATGCACTGGAGACCAAAATGTAACAACTATACTGTTATCAATAGCCTGATTTGCAGTAGACATTTGCTTATATAATGTTATTTTAAAATATATATATTCCTGATGCCTTTCGCACTGTCACTGGAATATTTCAAACACTATCAAGCTCTTTCTTTGAATCCTAGAATGTGACTTAAGTGTCATGAAACTTGGGAAATGTAGTTCCCAAAGCCTAAGAGTAAAATGGAGACCATATTTCCATCCCCTCCCAATAGTTGCTTCTATAGGCAGCTTTGTCTGTGTATGAAGAGTGTAGCTAAGTGGGCTACCAGTAGAGGGATAATATTTGAATCTGGGCTTAGGAGTTTTAGAGTAAACTAAGGAACCAAATATATGAAGACATGTTCTGAATTCTGTATTCTTACAGTATATTTGGGGACATTGCTAACTGTAAATGTTACTAAAAATAAAGCATGCTTGCCTCAGTTTATAAAAACCTGGAATGCTACAAAAGAATGTACTTGCCACTGAAATGCTTATTTAAATAGCAGAACCCACCATTTATTTGTTACAGTATGATTACTGGAATGATTGAAGTACTTATTTGTGTATGAATTAATGAGCATAATTTATAAAATGAGAACTGTTTATATAAATAAATGTGTGCTCTTGTAAACCAAGAATTCAGACTTAATTCATTTAAAAGCTTAGATCAAACTGGAAATGACTGAGGCAGGGTGCTATTAAAAGATAAAGAAGCTCCAGGAGTCAAGGTCAACAGATTAGTTTCAAGGCTCCTTAAATGCTGACCTTTCTCAATAACTTAAGCCAGTGTTTCTCAACTTTGGCAAGTTTAAGATGTGTGGACTTCAATTCTGAGAGTTGAAGTCCACACATCTTAAACTTGCCAAGGTTGAGAAACACTGACTTAAGCTATTAATCAGCATTTAGGTTGAAAACCCAGATAGTGAAGTGAATGCAAATTAAAACATACATAGGGGCTCTTGCTGAAAGTGACTCAAGGGCAAACAGGAAAATCTGAAACAGTCAGGTTGAGGCAATGTCTAAGTAGAAACCCAGGCAAATAAGTGAGGCCATGATATGTGTAGTCAACATAGATATTAAGCTCCAGTTATTTCATTTCTAATTTTCTGAAACATTCTACTCCACAGGAATAATCTTCTCTGGCTGCACACAGTTTTTGCTGTGATTTACTTGATTTTAACAGCTATCTTTATGAAACATCATATGGGTGCCATTAAATACAAAAAAGAAAGCATAGTAAGTTTCTATAAAATTAAAAAATGCTTAACATTTGCAGAGCTAAATCAAAATCAGGAAGGGAATTGATTGTGAAAAATTGCTTCCTGGCAAATTGTACTTGTGTACCTGTTTCTTTATTGAGAGGGGGATGATGCGGGAGGGGTCTCCAATATGGGACAAAATAATCGCCTAGTCATTTGGTTTTGTAGAGTCTCTCAGTGGTATTATGGAAGGTCTGTTCAAAGTGAGGATAATGCTTCTTGCTCTCACTCCGATTTTTCTCTGTTAACAAATCACCTGTATTTTCTCTGAGATACAGCTGTTTCATAAAAATGTTTCTTTTTAAAAGAAAATGTAGTTAAGGGGTGCAAAAAATGCATATGTGTGGAGGACAAAGAGGTCACAATTCCCATCACCACCCCCTTTTATACTGAACTTTTAAATGGATTGATCTGTGCTTCTGATGGGGGATTCATTTTAAAATTATGACCTAAAATGTTGCCAATTAAAAGAACATAAAAACTATAATAAAAGTGAGCTTAGATGGGACAATTTGTTGGAATTTATTTGCATATACATTAGTATGGGTTTTTACAATATTAATGTTTTTGTGTTGAATTATGTAGTTGCCTTGTATGTTTACAAACAGAAAAGAAGGTAAAAATAGGAAGTTCAAGCTGATTATAAAATCTGAGTTTTCAAATATTCCAAATTATTCACTATTATTACAAATCCATACACAACTATAGATAGATAGGGTTGAATTACATTTTAAATAATAGTAACTCCTCATAATAGGATGAATTTCCCTGAACTTCAGATATTAGATGTAGGGATATTATCTTTTTTTTTTTCAAGAAAAAGAAAAAACTGTTGTTTTATTTTTTAGCAAAAGAAAGAAAGAAATTTTCATCCCAAGTTGACACTTCCAAGGGAATCAAGTATGCTGAGCCTAATATGAATGGGTTTAGAGCTTTTTTGTGCAAAGCCTTTCCTATTTGAGTACTGCCAAAGTACATATCTCCCTATGTTTTTAATGTACAGTTACTACAGGAGTAGTGTACAAATAACGTATTGCATACAGATGATACTGGCCTAGAAGTCCAGAAAAGTTTACAAGAACAGATGCAGAGATCAGGATATTAAATAAGAAACAAGTGTTGTTTTTTAGTTTTTCTTACTTGGCACCGAAGTCATAATATGTAGGAGTAGGGGGCTGAATATGGAGCCAACAATAATAGGACGTGAACATCCAGCACTATCAACAAGCATATAGTTTTTAGTAGAACCTAGTGAAGGGGTTCATAGCCAGCTATGGCCTGCGTAGTCCCAGTCAAATTTGTGGACATCTGGATTCTACCAAAATATTTTGAAGTGCTCTTGCTGCTTTTTCTGGAGAGAGAACTAGCAAAAAGCAATTAAAGGGCACAGTTCAGTGAAGGAGTACTTCAACATCTCTTCCCCAAAGCACCATGATGAGACAACCATTTACTGTGATTAGAATGTAAACCTATCAGATACAAAATTAAATTGCTGCTGCTTTTCTCCCCCTATGAATGTTGGAAGTGTCATTACATCATAAGGCTGAGCGTTTTTTTTTCCTTGGGCATTATAGTTCCCATCATCATCATCATCAGTTGGCTTCTGGGTGTCACATGGGATATATTTAATAATACAATAACATCACTCTGCATGGAGGGAAATATTTTTAATATGTTTTTTTTCTTTTGTTTAACATGGAGTTTAAAACTCAAAAATAGCCGTGTTAGGGTTTAACTCACCTGTTTTCAAGCTTTAAATTGTCAAAAAGAAAGAATTGTACCATTGGAGTATGTTGGGTTTTTGTTTTGTTTTTGCTACTGAGTATTAGTAATGTTATTTCTATGCGTTCTCCAGGAACTGCAAAATGGGAGCTGAGAGCCATATGTGGGCTAAAGTACTTCTGAAGAAATACATCATTCTTTGCAAACACAGTAGCATATTATCTGTATCCCTCCAAATAATTTGGGGTAGGGTCAGATTCAGATCTGGTCTGCTTAGAAGGAACATCACTTTGATTGAGTTATCTCTTGAATCCAATTCAGCCTACACAGATATAACATGCAATCAAATCTGATACACATCCCTAGTTAAAAAAAAATCAAGCTAAATTTAATGTAATTTATAAATTTGTGTAGGTTAAAGTAGGTCATAGAATCATACAATGGAAGGGTTAGAAGGGACCTTGGAGATCATCTAGCATGTCGGTTTTCCTTTCAGTCTTTCTCTGTGGTCTAAGAAACTAATATTTTTGATATGTAGGTGAAGCGCACATTGTTCATAACTGGCCTTCCCAAAAATGCCAGCCAAACAGCCATCGAAAATCACTTCAAGTAAGTTTAAAAAAAAAACAAAACTAAATTCTTTTTTTATATATAAAAAGATTTGCAAATTTAAGTTTTTTTTAATTGTAATAGTTCAGCCATGTATACTGAGAAATGAGTATTGTAATTCTTCTATTTTCCTTGAGGATATTCCAGTAACTGGATTAGTCCCTCTGTGGGCAGCAGGCAGGTGCAATCCATGGGAAGGAGCTGTCTTCCGTACCCCAGACTGGACCTCTGTGACATTGGCTCAGGAAATCGGTGCATAGCTCTGTGCAGCTCTGTGGTTATTTTAAAAGTTATGCCTGTGTTTTAGTCAGGAACAGAATTGTGCGCATGGAAATAGGGAGGTAATTATCTTTTTTTTAACATTCCTCGCAGCCCTGAGATTGCTTACCAGATTAAAAAGTTTTAGCAGACTATACCACCATATTCTGATTAGAGCCCTTTGTCCTAAATTTCCCACATCTTCTTTTCCAGTTTTTCATATAGACAGAGCAGCCAGGATGAAGTGGATTAATCTGGTTAAAAGGAAAGCATTTGATTTGCTGATATATTCATTCCCAGCGGCATTTGTGGAGATGTTCACCATACCAGTTATTAACACTCTGGTTATAGATCTCATTTCCACACGACCACTACCTCCCCCAGTATAAACAAAAGCATAAAATTCTACAATGCTTGCCAACAACATACCCATTAAACTCTTAGCAGTAAAATAATATCTCATTGACCGTCTAACTTCCTGATCCCACCCTCCTGCTGTGGAGCACATCTGGGGGCAGGCCCAGTATAATCTCAGGGAGGAAGGTGCTCGATGGCCAAATCCTGGAACACTTAAATGCAGAGAAGGCTTTGATATCGTACACTGGAAAATTAGGAACAAATTTTGCTAAATATGGATTTCTTCCATTATTATCAATGGGCTCAAAATTTTGTATTCTTTGTTGTTACAAATGGAATTCGTAATTAAAATGTCCTCTGGAACCCATTAGAAGTATTCTTTTTTCCTCTCTTTAACTTGGAATGAAAACCACTGGCCTGCCCAACTAGACAAACTGGTGTTAGTTTAGGTACACCCATGGCTGGAATTAAGGATAAACTGTTATTGTATGCTTATGATATGAAAGGGGTTACCCCCCTTTCATATAATAAGCATACAATAACAATTGGGCAAATTGGGCAAATTATGGAAGCAGGTCATGTGATAACGCAAGCCTTGCCTCCTTTGTAAGGCTGTCATGATGTTGCACGAAGGTATGAAAAGGGCAGAGTTTATGCATGACGCTGCTTTCATCATTTTGACCCAAACCATCAGTTCTGTGGACGATTCTGACCTTTAGTCTATTCTACAAGCTTTATGCTTTCTGGTAGATGTCTGTTTGTTAGGCCAGTTCCTTCCTCTTATTTATGATCAAATCTTCCTTTTAAGATTTAAACACTGAGGGGATATGTTAAATCAATCCAGTCTGTTTCAGGGAAAGAAAGAGAGGACCAATTTGACTGAGACTGTATGTTGGTGGGAGAGAGGCTAACCTGAGAGCTTTAGAATGCTTTCCAAAAGAGACTGAAAACAGGAATTCATTAAAAGGCTCTTTTTACCTAAAGATTATTTTTTCTTAAAAGAAATCAGCTTGCAGAGCTGAGTATTTGTATTTGCTTCAGAAATTGGTTGACATTACACTTGTTCTATCTGATATCTCAGTATCTACTATATTGAGGCAGCCATGGATGATTAAGTCATGGGACTCCTCATTTAAAGAGAAATTATATCCACATTTTTTGGAACTGGAGATTAATCATCCTCTAAGTACCTCAGACACACTCTGAGAAAAGCAGTTTTGTAGGATAAGGAAAAGTGTGAGATGCTGTATCTTGACATAAACCTATGCCAACAAATTTGTTTAGCTGACAAATAACGGGAGGTTAATAATATAAGCAGAGGAAAGGTTTCCAGCACTTGAGTAATGACAGTGTATAACATACATAACATTTGAGAAGATAGTTTTGTGCTACAGTGAAAGTGGTTTTGTGCTAGTAGTAATTTGCTCTTGTTCTGGGCCTGGCAACAATATTGTTTAAGATAGTTTTATAATTTGCAGGTGGCCAGGATATTCAGGTTTAATAATTATTGACAGTGTAGATACTGTCAGGTTGCTGTAAGGAAGAATATAGTTCTCAGTGTTCGAACTGTGCAATAATATTTGGATGTTAGTGGTGGACCAAGTCTTCCTTTTTCAATTTCAGAATTGGTTTTGGTAAAATGATTTAAAATAATTCTACAAGTTTTTCTTAACCTATGGTCCTCCATATTTGTGGATTGCAGTTCCCATAATTCACAGTTGATACTGCTTTTGACTGGACTGATTAGAAATTCTGGGAAATGTAGTACAATGCAGCTAGAAGACACCAGGTTGGAAAATGCTGCCCTAGAAAATCAATCCTAAATCTCACCTTTAGTAATATAATCCATAGCACAATTAGAGCCAAATACCACCATTGCAATTCTTAAGGTGCACTATCCTCTAATATTTCTTCATTTCATCAAAAGGTAGGGTTCATTTTATCCTAGAACAAAGGTTCACAATTGAGCATGCCAGAGTATATGCCATATCCCTAACTAGGCCTTATTTTTTTTAAAAATATTTTTTTATTTTTACAACAAACACAAAACATACATGAACAAACA